AAAAAAAAAAAAAAAATTAACAGCCTTGGAAACCCTATGGGGCAGTTCTACTCATCCTATGGGGTCACTATAAGTCAGGATCAACTCAACAGCATTGGGTATAGCTTCCTAACATCTCATTTGCTTTACCAGAAAAGCTCACCTAAATACCCAACATATGAATTCTCGGTTATCTAATAACATTTTGCATCTTAGGACAGGTAGTTTGGAAGCATCGTGGACTACCATATAATTTAAGGCTAAAACCAAAAAAACAAACCCGTTGCTGTCGAGTTGATTCCGACTGGTGATTCAAAGCAGGGATGGCCAAAACAGCAAATAAATCATACTTACAGTTGTCCTCTTATTTCAGTTGTCTAAAAAGGACAGACACTTGTTATTCTAAAATGACCTCTTTTGATTAAAACTTTCAGTGCATTAAACATCACAGTTCTTGGATGACATCTGTACAGTGTAAGAACATAATCTTCTGCATTCTTATAAAAATTTAAACACATTTTTCTTACTCAGGGTCATTAGTAGTTTCATTTAAAGAAAAACTTACATAAGTCAGTATTATCTTTTGACCCTGCCCGTAGAGAACTTTGGAGTTAAATTTATCATTCGATTTTATTGGTATATCTTTCTCCTAATTTTTTTTTCCACGAAAATTAACTTTAATTGCCCTGTTTTATATGTGTTTTAAAATTGTAAGCCACTTTAAATGCTTTCTGGAAGGTTTAATATAATTGAAAATGACTAACCCTGACTAAAGCATAAACAGAAGTCTGATTAATGTACTAACCATCCTTCCCCCATATACATCAACCTAGAGGATGATAAAGTCTCATGGTCATGATTTTCAATATAAAATATTCATACAGATTTCAGATCGCTAGAATCTAATAACCTGCCTTTGAAGATTAACACAAAACACATACACACACGCACTCATCTTATTACAGAAGTACTCATTAGGTACTTTCCCCAAAAGCATCCAAACAGATGAACAAGATTTAAGACTACTTCAGTGCTCATTTACTCAAAACTTACAAAAAAAATATTTACAATGACCTAAAAACTCCTGTGTAAATAGCTACCTAAGTTCAGAATAAGTTGGGAGGGTGAGGGTCAAACACAGCTGAGCTCCACTCAGCTCAAATTAGATGAGCCTCTTAACTACAAAGCTTGTTTTCTTAACATGTGGGTTTCTGCAGGACTTGGTAAGATTTGCTGAGCACCATAGTAATCTTTTAAGACACTAGTCAAAAACATGGCCCTATATTTAAAAACCCCAGAAGTGGTTTTAGGACAACAGAAGCACCTCCGCCACTAAAATAAGCAATTTCCTAAGTAAAATTACCAACACAGCAAATCCTTTAACATTTCAGCAACCAATAAATAGAAAATACTCTTAAAAGTCTACACTATGTTTCAATTATTCCTTTGGATCCTTGAACTATAGTTAAAATGTATGGAATTGGTTGTCATAAAGCTTTTGACTACCTGATATGCTGCTTATCAGGGACAGATTACCAAATAAGCAAGGTACGCAAGGCTTAATTGTGTTTACTTACCAATCTGTAGTGCCCAATTTCACATGGTGAAAGTGGTGAAACCCACGTGAAACTGGGCACTACAGATTGGTAAGTAAACACAATTAAGCCCGTGTGTCCCTTGCTTACTGGTTAATCTGCTTCTTATGAAAGAGCACTGATTTAAGCCAAGCATGGTGGTGAACTAGGGCCCAGTGCACAGTAGGTACTTCTGTTGCCCTGGCTGTGGGCTCCTTCTGAGTAGCGACTAACAGGGTGGGCAAGTTTCAATAAGACTTCACAGCCTGGCATAACAATGATGACCAACACATTCAGTTCTCCTGGAATCAATCCAAGAAAGAGGCCTAGACTTAAAGATGTAGTACAAATACATCAATCTAAAGCAGGCACCTTTGCCCAATAAACCAAAAGCCACTGCTAATCTCTATTGAACACAAAAGCAAATACTAACGTTATATTGAAGTGTGTATAATCAGATGAATATTATACATAACCACCTTTAATATTTATATATGTGGTACTAAACCTCAAAAAGGTTAGATTTACAAGAGCATTATTAAAAAGCACATTCCTCATTGCTTTTTTTTTTAAAAGGACAGGCTTTTCTACTGAAGTAATTTATATTTTTCCTAGTTCCTAAATAGGCATCAGATATGTAACAGAAGAAAAAAAGTCTCAGCCAAATAGCCACAGACTCATCTAAGATATTCAGACTCATCTAAGAAAACAAAAATAATAAATTGAATAAATTAACTTGAATAAATTAAGAGTGCACATTCAGAAAGGAATCGTAGCTTTTGGTCAGCGACATGCGAACCAAAGGCAAAAAATACACACACACACACATACAGTACAATGTATTTTTCCCCCAAGCTCATTAGTGTTCACTGTGATATTAAAGTGCATTGCCAAGCACAAGCTTCCTAATAAAAAAAATAGATGGCACAGAAAGTTCCTGTTGTTTTAGTCTTCCTTGTACCTATCAACTGCATTTTCTTTTTGCTTTAACACACTTAGTCTGAGACATTACTGTGAGAATCATATGACTTGAAGGCAAAAGCTCGGGCACAAAGCATTATGATTGTCAGGGTGAGAGCCGTTGTAAGGAATTACTTTCTTCCTCTGCTGGAGTCAATTTGAGTGTTGGTAGTTTCCGAGGAGGAAGCTGAGGACTTTGGCGAAGATTGTCATCCATCTGTAGAAAGTACAAAAGATACAGCTGACTAATCCCTTGGCACCACTCGTGTGGACTGTGGCCTCCCTGTCCAAGCTATAACCTAGAACAGTACAGAACCATATGTTTCTAGGACTACAAGAGAAACCTTTTTTCTTGCAAATAGTCTTATAAGAATTCAAAATGTCATACCTCAAATACTGGCTGACTCAGTATCTGAAAAAAGCAACGTGGTTCATCCTTGATACCTTCAGTAATTCCATAAAATGAATACTCTACGGAACTCTACCATAGTGTGACATAGTTTTAAGAGGTCTTCTAATATCAAGTGTAAAAGTAATACTCCTGTTACACTAAGCTTCAGTTTACAAAATACATTCATGTACGATACCTCATTGGATTCTCCCAACACAGTTGTGAGAAAGAAAGGGAAGATACAATTACCCCCTATTTTACAGATTAGCAAAATGAGGCTCAGAAAGGTTAAGTGATATGTCCCAGGTTACAAAGCTAGTATAACAGCTGAGACTCGAACCCAGGTGTTCTTATTCCAATACTGCTATTCTTTTAACTATACTTCATTCCCTCAATGAGAATGACTTGTACTCTATTCAAAAAGGCCAGCTCTTTAAGCTGAGCGTACTGAGACCAAGGGAAGCTAGGAAAAGAGGCAGAAAGGAGGATAAATTCTTTAGACCTAATCCAGAGATCTTCCCAACCCTGGCTCAGTTTGTTGTCATAAAGCAGGCCCTGGAGAAAGAAACTGATGCGGACCATATTAAGAAAATGCCCAAGAACCTCAAACTTACCCTAAGAAGAGCACATTAGCAACCCTGGGAACACAAGGATAGGCTTTATTCAGAACTGAGTCTATCTTTAACTGAGAACTACCTTCTAACCAGAGTATCCCACAAACAGAGTACAAGATTCAGGTCCTGGTGTTGAGTTCACTATCAGCTTAATTTCAAAAAAGACTTGGAAGCAGCAGCCAAGCATCTTATTATTCACTTAATATGCAGGCTTTTTTTACAGTTTGAGTATGTGCAGAGCATTCAGAACTTTCCCTTAGGTTCTCAAAATGCTCTTATAAAGCATGGAGGAAATGTTTCAGCAGAGGTACACAGAATTTGTAGGAAAGGAAAGAGAACAAAAAATGAATGGAAAAACAGTATTCCTAGTAACCAACTGAATCAATTGTGTGAAGATGTCTTTTTTTCTTGCAAGAACTAAGTTCCTCAAACATAACTCTTAAGCTCTAGATTTTCTGTCCAAATTTTGAACAGTGTTGGCCAACAGATTTATTGCTCTAACGTTTTATGGCAACCAATGTACCACACTCTCCACTTACACCCCAGCAGGTATGACTGAGGGGGTGGTGGGGGAGAACCTGACTGAAATAGGGTCAGGAAACTCTCACGTATTGATGATGACCCACAATGGAAGAGTACAAAGTGGTGAGAGGACCTTTGGGCTTCACCTCCAGCACATGTAGGTATACCATGGCTCCCTTTCTATATCTGTCATGAATTTGGTACATAGAGAAAACAGAACTACACTGGATAGCCTTCATCCAGCACAGAAGTGTTTAAAATGGTCCAAGTGATCTTTCCTTCATCCACACTTAACACTCAGTATTTTATTTCCTCCTATGAGATGGGCTCAGGATTAGACAGACGACCAGACTTTTAACTCAACTTACCAAAACTTCAATAATAGATTCTTACAATTTTATCACCTCAGATTATAACAACCCATAAAATATTACAAAAAAGATACAGAGCCTCTCCAGAGAATGACAGTTATAATCCTGACTAGGACTACTAGTAATGGATACATAATCTCGTTTATTAGTTAGCTGACTGCTTGGAAAGAATAATCCCAGAGCCCAAGCTTTGGGTCAGTCTCTGGAGTCAGATTTCTAGGGTTCAAATCTCCTCTCTACCTCTCAACAGCTGAATGAACTTGGACACATGGCATAAACTACTCCCAAAGCTTCAGTATGCTCATCTGTAAAATGGGGATGATAATAATGCCTGCACACATGGAGCTGTTGTGCAGATTAAATGAGGTAACTCATATAAAGCTCATTTAACACAGTGCCTGTAACTTGGACCTCAAAAACTATTAGCCAGTATTATCACGTCACATTGCCCCATTAGTTTATGAAAAAATAAAGTATTATTCATTTGTACAAGAAAAAAGCAAGTTATCAGACATTTGGAAAAAAATGAGTAACCCTCTTGAATTTTCCCAATTAGAATCACCTTTAAGATTTCTGTTGCTGGCTCTCTCCCCTGCCCAGTTCCTCAGTATCTCTTGCACCAAATGAACACCCCCAAAGTGGCAAAAAAAACCCACACTGGTGAAAAACTGTAGGCTACATTTAGAACAGAGAAGGATGGGAAGGAGAAAAAAATAAAACAGATCATATGGAAGGAAAAAAAAGATATCATAATGTTGCTAACAAGAAAGGATAAGCACCAGGTGCTTAAAATCTCAAGAAATGCTCATCTTCAGAGCCAGAGCCAGGCAGACAAGCAAGACATGTGTGTTTGTTTAAAGCCAGCCTTTTAGTCTCCTAACTTGAAAAGTACTAATTGTGAGGCAAATGTAAACCCAATACCATTATCCACTGTTTCCCCAAAGCAATCAGGCCATTACTGGCTTCACAACACTATATTATATACAACTTTAGAAAATGTATATTTAAACAGCTTTCTGAAAAATTAACTACTAAAAACAAAAAACTAAAAAGAGTAAAGTTAATGCATGATCCAAATTACATTATTAACCGAAGAAAGGAAAATACTAAACTACTATAAAGACGGAAGTAAATTTGACCTTTTCAATCAAGTTGGACTCCTTATTTACAAGCTGTGTGAGTTTCTGCAGATTTGCATCTACCGTATCTTGTCCAGCTGGAGAGATGCCTAAGAAGCCAGGACAGAAATCAGAGAAAGACAGGAAATTTTGAAAGCCTTGAAAGCTGTTTAGATAGAATGAATTTTGAGCTACTCACCCTCCCAAGTGCCCCATTCTCCAAAAAAAAAAGGTAACGAGAAAAACCATTCCGTGTTCAAAGCCAAAGTTAGAGGCGTAACAATGCTCCAAAACCAAACCTTACACAAAAGGACTAAAATGTGTCCTCTAAGCAGACACCGCTAGCAGAAGTGTTATGCAGCTAGTCAAAATCATTAGTAAAAGAGCACATCAGTCCTCATTTACTTCTCAAATTTAAGCTGTACGTTTTCCCCCACCCATTTCAAATAGGTCTTTGTTACAACTATTTGGACTGCTTCCAAGACAGTAAGTCCCAGTTAACAAACCAGACATCCAAAATATTTGGAGGGATATGAAAAAAATACAGATTCCTGGGGCCCATCCCTAACAGATTCTAATTCAGAAAGTCTGGAGTAGAACCCCAGATTCTGTATTTGTCATATATCAGGTTTGGTAACCTCCACACCACAGGGCAGTTGTTGTTAAAGCTGCCGCTGTATCAATTCCAACTCATGGAGACTCCATGTGTCCAGAGTAGAACTGCTCCATAGGGTTTTCAAGGCTGTGACCTTTCAGAAGCAGATCACCAGGTCTGTTCTCCAAGGCACCTCTGGGTGGGTTCCAATCTCCAAACTTTTTGCTAATCATACACTTTAATGACTTTCAAACTACCAGCTCCTCCCAATATCCTAAATGCATAACTCATCATAAAAATCAACTGTCCACCTAAGCTAGCTCTTCTTATGACTTGTTTCTTTAAAGGAAAATTTCAGCCATTTCTCCCAATACAAATTTAGTATCCCAATCACTTAAGCTCAAGGTCCCACATTCCCCAAAGAAGCATATCCTAATTGACAGGTGCCCTCTATTTACTATACCTCCAGTCTGCTGCAATCAGTTTTCAAGTAGTGGAATCATGGGAGTGTACCTCACCAAAATCAATCTGCTGCTGATTTCTGTTCACGCAGGAAAATGCTAGAAGCAGCGGGTAAGAATCATTTAAAGTAATTGCCCATTTGCATTAGGATAAATGCTATCTTTCAGGAGGGACTGAATAAGTATCTGTGATTTAGTCTTTTAGAAGAAAATAACCCATTTCAAAGGGGCAATATTTAAAGACCAAAAATCAAGAAATATATAAAATTCAGAAGAATAGATAAAAGGGAAATATCTATCTTACATAGGAATAAAACTGAAGTTGGAAAAATGCAATTTTTTGAAGTGCTATAAATCAGCACTTAAACACAATACACAAACTTCTTCATGAAAGTAAGTAATGAAATTTGATTATGTCATCTCAGGGTATATCTACTCAATGTGCAAACATTAGCTAAAGAGGAGATGACTTACCTGCAAGGCTAAGCCTAAAATAACTGCTTAGGATGTCATCACAAAAGCGACACAGGTTGGAAAGCTGTTTCAAATGTTCCTGTAACTGAACTTTAGGAAAGCGCACTTTGTAAAGAGGTGCGAGAAAACCAAACACATAGGCATCCAAGGTAGAAGGCCTGAAAAGAAAGATTATTTTAAAGCATATAAGCATATTAAGTCTATGATAATTGCCACCTACAGAAAAGGTTTCCTATCATAAAAATCTATTTTAAAATATTTCAAGTGAAAAACTCACATTTTAGGGGACAAGCGGACTGCCTTTGAATAACTGCTCAATGAATATATGTGCACAAAATATTGAAATGATTTTTAAGGGAATGTACTCACGTATCACCAAAGAAAAACTGAGATGTTCCCAATCTCTTTGACAGAAGATTTAGGCACTCCTTGGCATCTCTGTATATCTAATAAGGATGAAATACATCTCAAGGGTAGGAAAAGTGCTTTGAAACTACTTTTTAGGCAGGCAGCTAGAGGCAGTCATCTCTGCTATCTCTTTTGTCCCTTCTCTGGCTAGCCCTTGCTCTTAAAGTAGCCCAGATGGTACCTGTGCTTCCACTTCTTGGAGGTGGTAGAGGGGAGGCTCTCCTCTGGTCAGGAGAATCCTATTCAGTGCTCCTTTAGACATTCTTCCAGGCAGGATCAAACTCAGAGGAAAAGGAATTCGTGAAGCAAACCATGGTTTTGTCACAGAAAAGTAATTGTCACTCTCAACCCAGAATGTGTGAAGCTGCAAAGAGAAGGGGGAAAACACTACAAACATGTTCTTTTATAAAAAGAAAGATCACTCACTCAAACAATGTGATAGTTTCCTATAAAAGTGTGTGTATAAAGTGACTTCATACAAATTTTCCAGTTAGAATGACTCAAGGATAATACAAGATTATTTTAAATATGTATGTTTTGTTGACTACTATATCCCAGGCACCTAAAATATGGCCTGGCATATAGTAGGTGCTTAAATGAATGATTTACAGTTCAGTCAATCGTATACATGGAGCAAAAAGCTCCATCTCCCACAAAAACATTTTATTTCCAAAACGATATTATCTTTTACTTTGTTGTTTCACAAACTAGGTGAATATCTAACAGAATCCCGTTTCACAGTAATATGAAAGGATCAAGATTAATAAAGGAAATTTCCTCTCTTTTCTAAGCCTTTTTCATTATTTTTCTCAATAGACTAAGTGCATTTTCAACTAGGTCACTAAACTATTGTCATATCTATGAACGCTCACCAGTGCAGGAAGAAGCTTCTCTTCAAGGAGAGCGATGTACGCCAGTGTATCAGCCCCTTGTTTTGCTGAGAGTTCATAATCAGCGTTGTATTTCTATTAAAAAAACATAAAACCAAAGAACCTCAGAAGTCAAAGGACATCCCAAACACAGTGAAACTAAACAAATTAGGACTCCTGTTCTTCCTCACAAATGGCAACATGATATGAAAAGGGGGGAAAAGAGACACACAAATCCGGTGAAAACTACTACTAGATGAACGTAAGGTTCATAGCACAGCATCATGCACACGGTAAGCTCAATAAATATTAGTGATGTTTTTATAAACTACTATTATTTCAATGCTTGTTACTTAGTTCAGCGCACAGCATGTAGTATGAACTTAATAAACGGAAGCTATTATTTTTGTTAATAATAATGATAAGGAAAAAGTTCCAACTGACTGCATTTTTTTTTCCCATAAAAGAAAAAACAGCTTCCGATTTAGAAAAGTTCAAAATTCTACTGACACAGGATTTGTTTTGCAAAAAAAGCACTGGCAAAACAATTATAACTTTTGCATTTACAGAAATCTTTTCATGTTTAAAACTTTTGTTACATTATTTCATGAAATATTTAACTGCAACTATCAGTTGATAACTGAAAGATCAGCAATTCGAAACCACCAGCAGGTCCACGGGAGAATGATGTGGAAGTCTGCTTCTGCAGGCATTTACAGCCTTGGAAACCCTATGGGGTTGCTATGAGTCAGAATCTACTCGACGGCAGTGGGTTTGGTTTGATCACTATGATAAGAGTGCTTTTAAAAAATAACAGATAACTGCTGGCTGGTGGGAACTCAGATGTCACACTCAGCACAGAAATGTGTAGCAACTGTGTAACTAAAGTGACAATCCTATCAATATGTGTGATAGTTAAATGGCTAAACTGAATCTGCTTTATATCTAAACTTCAATAAAATCCAAGCAAACACATAAAAATATAAATTAACTATACTTCACTATATGACTTTCAAATCACAATACAACTCATGCTTTAGTGTAGTGATTCCCAAGTCTATTTCTATAAAACCCCAGATATCTCCAACTGTCTAAACAGTTGCACACCCCCTGCAAAAAAAAAAGTATACATACGTGTATATACACATAAACACAAACAAAAGTCTTAATATGTATTTTTTTAAGTAACATACACGGATCAACAATCTACTTGTTCAAAAGATACCACCAACCTGTTTTCTTAAAAAGTTTAGTATTTTTGCCGGCTGAGAAACAATACTGTCTTCAGTTGTCAAAACTGGTACATCTCCTATAATCAGAAAACAGTTTACACGTAACTAGGCATTTAGCTTTACTGTGAAGAAGTTCCAATCCCCTAAAAAACTATATCAATTGCACATTTGAAGGGGGAAAAATGAGTAAACCTATCTACTTTTTTTTTAAAGTTCACAAACAGCAGTTCTGGAGAACATTTTCATTTCTCGTAATTTCCACACTCACTTGGCTTACATTTTGGGGTATTACTCAATTATCAAACCATACGCGACACACAGCCAAAGTCGTGGTAAGAAGAAATTAAAACCTCAAGGTATTGAATGGCTATATGCCTTGTGGCTTTAAATGGAATTTAAATAGGGCAGAAAAGGGTGTTTAAAAGTTTACACTGTACCTCTTGAACCTCTCCAGGTGTTATCTATGACATTGACTTTCAAGGGTGCACCAGAAAATTTGGCATAAGCCTGAAACAGAGTTTGCAATAAAACATTTTAGACCCAATACCTAATGTATACATGGAGAGCTGCTTTACTTCACAGCACCGTCCCCGGAAAGCACAAAGCCCCCACCAGCGCCGCTTCCCTCCCCCTAACCTCCGGCCTGCGGCGCGTGCACCAGCTACCCGACTTTTGGGGACATCATATCCCAAAAGATCCGGGGAATTTGGGGCGGGCGCGTCCCCAACTTCGGGTTTTGACTCCACTGCCCAGGCAGCTCTGCAACGCCAAGAAAACACAGAGCCCAGCGGAGCGCCATGACGCTCCCACCGACCCTCAGCGGGGTCACAGGCGAGACTGCCGTTCGCCGACGAAAAGGAACCTAGGAAAGCGCAGCAAGCAGCGCCCCGGACGGCCTTAGCCCTAGAGCGCCGCAGAGAACCGCCGGAAGCCGCCCAAGCCGGACCTAGCGGGCCTCTCGCCTCTGGCCCCGTCCCTGATGCCCGCGCCCAGGCCCGCAAAGCGGCCTCACCATTACCACCAAGGACTCGCAATGCACCGATGGGAGCCCCCAGCCACCTCCCCAGCAACTGAGCTCCAAGGGGGCAGCCATGTTGCCGGACCGACCTTTGCTACCCCGGAAGTACTTTTGCCGTCCGATTTCCGGCACGTGGGCATGCGGGGGCGGAGCGAAAGAAGAGCAGGGTACTTTTGGGCCCTGGAGAGAACAGAAAGTACGCTTAGAAGAATCTTGGCCGTAATTCAAACAGACTGACCAGCCATTCCGCCAGATACTTATTGGATGCTTACTGTGTGCCAAAGGAGTCACTGGAAAGGTTGGAAGTTGTAGTCCATCCAGAGGTGCCTTGGAAGAATGGTCTGGTGATCAATTCCTGAAAAATCAGCCATTGATGAGTCAGAGTCAATTTTGTGGCAAGTTTTTTTTTGACTGTGTGCCGAACACTGGGAACATTAACTACACTGAGTTTAAATTACCTCATTTCTGAAATATGGTGACAGTTTATTTACAAGATTGTTGTGAGTTTTTAAAAGGACGTCGTGGGGCAAAAATTTAGCACAGAGTAGGCACTCAGTAATTGTTCAACCTGGTTTTCCCATCTGATTTGATCTCTGCCTGCCTTTTCAGTCTGAATCTCAGTTATGTCACCCTCATGTTCACTTGCTCTACCCTTCTTGAGAGTAACCCTATTCCTGAAACTTGTCAGGTGCGTTCTGTCTCCCTTTAGCACTGCTCCTTCAGTCTGGAATATCTTTTTCCCCTATCAAACTGCTCCTTCAAAAATGAGCTTAACTCTTATCTTCCCTGGAAAGGTTTTACAAAGTTAGGAGCTTCTTCTGGGTTCCTGCAGCCCCTTATACATACTTGAATTGTAGTATGCATAACAGATTTTTTTAACAGACCTTTTGCCTTCAACTACAGTGGAAGCTTTTTGTAGACAGAACAGGACCAGCTTCTGTTACACAGGGCTCCACACTTGGCAGACTCCCACACTTGGTTTAATGCTCTGCTGTCACCATCTTGAAATTCTTAATACTTTTAGAGCATGGGGCCCTGTATTTTGGTCTGGTCTCTGCAAATTACGTAGCCAGTCATGTAGACAGTTGGACCTGATAGGTATAAATTAAATGTTCCTTGAGCATTAAACTGACAATTTCTCAGAAAAGCTGTCAAAGAGGAAAGATAGGCCTTGGCAATGTTATGATTCAGCAATGTTTACTGGGTCCCAGACTTAGGACTTGGGTGATGGGTCTTTTTTCTAAAAGGACTGTAGTCTTCCCAGGATATCCACCATCATACCTCTGAGCGCTTTCCTGTCCTCTGCTTCACTGAGTTGGTTGAGTGCCCTTAAACAACTGAAAGTTCAAAAGAAACCTCTGCAGATTTTCGTGAAACTTCTTATCAATAAACATTTGCTAGGCAATTTTTTACTGTTCACAAATCTGTCTAAATCACAATGCGAAACTACTAAAGTCTTTTTGTCATGTTTCAAAGACAGAGTTCTCAGAAATGGGAAGGAAAAGGTATTTCAAAGATGAGAACTCATTAATAATACTTTAAAACTGGGAAACTTATCATATGTGGCATTAAAACTAAGTATCAAAACATTTATTGAGCAGGTACTATGTTACACACTGTAAACCTGTGGAAGAATATGGAGATAAATAAGACACAAATTCTATCTTCAGGAGTTCATAATCTACAAAAAAGACAGGCACACTGTGGTGCAGTGAATTCCTTAATATGGCCCTTGTAGTCATAGACTATGTGACTCCCACACAATGATTGGGTGGGACTATGCAAATAAGGTTCTTATGGCCCACCGAGGGGGTTGGACAGCTTGCTGCTAATACAAATAAAGTATATGGAAACTACGATGGTTAAGATTATGTGTCAACTTGGCTGGGCCATGATTTTCAGTGGTTGGGCAGTTATGTAATGATGTAATTGTCCTCCATTTTGTGATCTGATGTAATTATCTTCCATTTTGTGATGTGTTGTAAATCCTAGCCTCTATGCCTGTGGTCATGGTCCCATTTGGGAGTGAGTTGTCTGTTATGTTAATGAGGCAAGATTAGGGTGGGCTGTATCTTGAGTCACTGCCTTACTGGAGGGTGTGATTCAAGTCACCACCCTTAGCCCAGTCACACCACCCTTACCACTCTTATTCAAGTCACACGCTTACCTGAGTCACACCTTTCATCTTACAAGAGATAAAAGGAGAGAGAAGCAAGCAGCGGTGGGGGACCCACTACCACCGAGAAGAAGAGCTAGGAATGGAGTGTGTGCTTTGGACCTGGGATCCCTGCACTGAGAACTTCCTAGACCAAGGAGACACAGAGTGTAATACTGGAGACGGCCCAAGATGGTGAAAAGAGGCAGTAAGCATGGCAGAGAACCAGCAACAGCAGAACCAGTAGACCAGAGTGAGATGGCACAGTGGGCTTCACAGCCTGCAGAGCAAGGTGATTACAGTGGGTGTGCTGACACATGGAGCAAAAGAGCTGAGTACCTTCAGGCAGGAGGTACTTGACAGAGTGAGGTGCCTCCAGGCAGTAGGCTTGCTGACCCATGGAACTAGAGAGCTAAGTGCCTTCTGGCCAAGGCTTACTGGTGGAGAAGTGTGCCTCCAGGAACTTAATTGGCAGAGCTAAAGAGCTTTGTAACACTTGCCCAAGCAGGGCAGAGGCCAGGCTGAGGGGCTGAGGGCCAGAGAGAGGCCTGCCTACAGGCACAACTGAGACGAGGCTGTCCTGATCAAAGAACTGTGTCTTGAATTATAACCTGTTCCCACTGCCATTGAGTCAATTCTGACTCACGACGACCCTATAGGCTAGAGTAGAACTGCCCCCATAGGGTTTCCAAGGCTGTAAATCTTTACGGAAGCAGACTGCCACGTCTTTCTCCCTCATAGCAGCTGGTAGGTTCAAACTGCTGACCTTTTGGTTAGTAGCTGAGTGCTTAACCACTGCACCACCAGGGCTCTCTATTGTGCTAGAGCACAGCTTGGATAATGGATTGAAATGAATCCTTTTTCAGAGTATCTGGACCAAAGCTGTGACTTCGAGGGCTCTCCTTCCAGGGCAGGGTTAGGATCCAGGCTCAGCCACCGTCCTGCCTGGAGCTCTCAGCTCAGGAGCTGTTTGTGGAATTTCTAGGGTGAAGATAAGGCTGATCTAAGTGCAGGCATATTTTACTTTTAAGAACTTAATCCAAACAGTAGGAGCTGAATAATCCAGGTCCAATTTGCTCAAGCAACTGAAATTTTACTGAATTGGAGTCCAGTCTTAATGTGAGTTGGGAAGTGAAACCAAAAATGTTTGTTCCATTTCAATTTTAATTTTTCCCGTTTATATCATTTAATATCATACTCCTTGTCTTTGTGGTCTAGTGCTGCTATGACAGAAATACCACAAGTGGATGGCTTTAACAAAGGAAATTTATCTTCTCACGGTTTAGGAGGCTAGAATTCAGGATGCCAGCTCTAGGGGAAGGCTTTCTCTCTCTTGTCAGCTCTGGGGGAAGGTCCTTGTCTCTTCAACTTGTTTCCTGGTTCCTTGGAGATCTCCATGGGGCTTGGCATCAGTCTTCCCCCATCTCTGCTTGATCACTTGCTTGTTTAATCTCTTTTATATCTCAAAAGAGATTGACTCAAGACACAGCCTACACTAATCCCACCTCATTAACATGACAAAAGCATCCCATTCCCACATGGGATTATAACCACAGGCATAGAATATGTATTACAACACATAGTTTGAGGGGACACAATTCAATTCATAACGCTCCTTTTAGCCAATATTCTGTGGAACCTATTTAAACTGCACGCTGCCTTCTTTAACACTTCCTTAACTTTTATTCTATTTCTTCTCACAGAAACAACATGTGTGAGTTTTTATTTTAGAATTGTCTATGTGCTTTGCAGGCTCCCCACTTGTGCATCTGGGTCCAAGGCTGCCTGTGTCTGCCTGTGGTGACTGGAGGATGGATGGACAGTGTAACTGGAAACACCTTCTGGAGTTGCGAGTGCAGGGCCTGGAGGTGGCCCTGGCTCTCCCTGCGGCCCATTTCTCCCCACTGAGTGCAGGCCCCTTTGGTGCTGTCCCTCAGGTCCTCCCTTCCTCAGCTTTTCTTCCATCTTCCCCTTCTGTTAAAGCTGAGTGGAGCCCAGCTCCCTGCTCTCACTCAGTCCCCCTACCCTCCCACCCAGCTGACCCCTAATATCAGGCCTTCTTGGGGCTCCTTCCTCAACCCCATCCTTCCATTCAGGAATCCTTACATGATTTCAGGAGAAGATAATAGGGGTCTTATCCTTCGTGGCCACTGCTGGTACCTTTGCTTTTCTTTCTTTCTTAAATATTTTCTTATTGTCGCAAAATACATATAACAAAACATTTGCCATTTTGACCATTTCTACGTGTACAATTCAGTGACATTAACTACATACACCATGTTGTACAACCATTACCACTACCAGGATCTGGATTTTTTCATCACTCTTAACAGAAACTCAGTAGCCCTTAAGCAATATTTCTCCACCTGCCCCTTGTAACCACTAATAAACTTTGATCTCTATGCATTTTCCTATTCTAGATATTTCATATATGTGGGATCATACTGTCTTTGTCCTTTTGTGTCTGACTTATTTCACTCAATATAATGTTTCCAAGGTTCATCCATATCATAGTATGTATCAGAACTTCATTTTTCTTTATGGCTGAATAATATTCCATTATATGTATATATCACATTTTGTTTATTCATTCATCTGTTGATAGAGAATGGTTTTTTTTTCTGCCTTTTGGCTATTGTGCATAGTGTTACAATGAACATTTGTGTACAAGTATCTCTTTTTTTGAGTTCCTGCTTTCAATTCTTTTGGGTATATACATACATGTGGATTTGCTGGGTCATATGACTATGCAAAGGCATTCAACTGTGGGGATCAGAGAGAGGCCTGCCTTCAGGGACAGCTGAGAAGAGACTGTCCTGATCAAAGAACTCTATCTTGAATTGTAACCTATTCCCACTGCCATCGAGTCAATTCCGACTCATGGTGACCCTATAGGATAGAGTAGAACTGTCCCCATAGGGTTTCCAAGGCTGTAAATCTTTATGGAAGTAGACTGCCACATCTTTCTCCAGA